GGCTCTGGATTTATAAACAGTGAGCCTGGGTTAGAATACAGGTTCTGCAAACAGATCAGCTCAGAAACAATTCCTAGCAAGAAGAAAAAATTTAGAAACTTGTAACTGAAACAATTTCTGAAGCACTGAACTACCTAGGTCTGTGGCAAGTGGATAACATGCCAGCCTTGAAGCGAAGAAAACCTGTGTTCAAATCCTGCCTCTGACACAAATAGGTTTTGTGACCCTAGCCAAGTCACAACCTTTTAATGTTTTAGGCAATTCTCTAAGACTATGAGTTGCAGAGAAAGTGCCCAATTGCATTGGAAAAGGGAATTTCCTCACTTGAGAATTCTCTATACAAATGAAGTCACAAGTCCTGTTTCTATCCCCAGTTTAATGAAAAGCTGGGGAAAAAAAAGGAAAATGGGGAATTTATGAACCAAATTCAAGTGGAGGCTCTTATCAGACCAATTACAAAAGCATTTTGTAAACTTTCAAATGCCATATAATATCAGCTATAGTCTTGAACAAGTGTTCTGGGGGACGCAGTCACCTCTAAGAGGGAAAATAATGAGGCAAATGCCAGCTGGGTCCCCCAATAGTTACATGAAGACCTCCAATAGTGTTAAAAAATCACTGGCATAGGGGCAGCTAGGTGGCATGGTAGATAGAGCTCCAGCCTTGGAATCAGGAAGACCTGAGTTCAAATCCAGCCTCAGACACTTGACACTTACTACCTGTGTGACCCTGGGCAAGTCACTTAACCCCAATTGCCTTACCAAAAAAAAGCCAAAACAAAAATCACTGGCCTTTAGACTTGGGCTCACACTCTGACATTTGACTCCCTGAAGAACCTTGGAATTTCTTCTTCTTTTTTTTTGGCGAGGAAATGTGGTTAAGCGACTTGCCCAGGGTCTGACTCAGCTAGTGACAAGTCTCTGAGTCTGAATTTGAACTCAGGTCCTCCTGACTCCAGGGCTGGTGCTCTATCCACTTCACCACCAACTGCCCCAGGATCTTGGTATTTCAGAGCTGGAAGAAGTTATCTAACCCAATTCAGACCAGAAGAAGAATTCCTTCTCCACATTTCCTACAAGTTATTATCCAGAATATCTAGCCAAAATGGCTGCCTAAACAGGAGGCAGACCACTCAACTCTCAAATATCTAGTCCTGCAAAACCCTGAAGTTCCCCTCAGGATAAAATTCAATAAAAAACTGCAGTGACTTTTTCCATCCCAGAACTGGAAAAAAAAAAAAGAAAAAAAGTTGGCTAGAAGGCTACAGTAATATGAAAGGGAGCCAATAAGCAAAGCTATGGCCAGCATCTGTCCAGTGCAACCAGAGCCAGGTCATGTGTAGCCTTCAAGTCTCTGTGTCCAGAGCAAATAAGAGTAGATGTTTCCCCCTGAGAAAATCCCAGGGAATTCAGCAAGTTCTAGGATGAAGACCATGAAAGTAAAAGAGTGCAAAGGCAGTAGACACCTGTAGCACTCACTCATTACAGGACAGTCCAGGCCCAGTAGCTCCAATGTCCCTCACATTCTTTCCCCAGATATCAGAGGGCACTGTGAAGATCCAACACTCTGAACCTCAGATTCAGGCGAGGCCCAATCCTGGGATGTGGAGATCAGTACAAGAATCTAGGGGACCCAAAGCAAGACCAAGGTTGGCCAAGCAACCCATTCAAAAGCTCAGCAGCAGGCATAGCATGGTCCTGACACAAAACTCTGAGGCAGAAAACAAATATGGAGAGGGCAGCAAATCAAAAACACTAACTAGTGTCAAAAATTATTGCAAATCTAGATATTCCCCCAAATAAGAAACAAGTAATGCTGTAATAACTGCAGACACTCAAAGGAAAAAAATGGACTTTTCTACAAGGCTTACATGAGTACCCAAAAGAGATAAAGCAAGAAAAAAAATTAAATAAAAGTCCTTGAGGAAAAAAATTAAAAAATTAAAAGACTATAACTTTAAAAGAGAAAGTGGCAGATCTTACCCAAGAAATATCAGAATGGAGCAAACTGAAGTCAATGATTATGACATAAGACAGCAAGAAATATTGTAACAAAACCAAGATTGAAAAAACACAAGAAAATATAAGATATGTGATAACAAAAACAACCAACTTGGGAAACTGGTCAAAGACAGATGACTGGACTCACTGAAAACCTTGATTTAAAAAAAAAATTAAAAAGCCTCAACACTGTATTTCAAGACATTATAAGAGTTGTATAGATTCATTAGACCCAGAGGTCAAAGTAAAGACAGAAAGAATCCACTGATCACCTCCAGGGGACAAAAAAAAAAACTCACAAAGGAAAAGTCCCAAGAATGTCATAGTCAAAATCCAAAGCTGTTATATCAAAGAAAAAATATTGCAAACATCCAGAAAGAAGTAGTTTTACTTTATTTTATTTTACTACCTTTAGGATCACAGAAGACCTGGAAGCTTTTACTTTAATTGGGAGAAAATACAATATTCCAAGAGGCAGCCAAAGGGAAAAAAAAAAGGCTCACAACCAAGAATAACTTATCCTGCAAAGTGGAATATAACCCTACATGGGGGAAAAAAATGGACCCTTAATGGAATAAAAGACTTTCAAGCATTTCTTATGGAAAGACCAGAGCTGAGTGGAGATTTTGAAATATAAAGATTGGAGTCCAGCAAAACCTAAAAAGGAAATGATGAAAAAAACGATTTCAGAGAATCCTGGGTAGTATGACCTTATATAGAGTTAAGTGATCAAAACAAGGAAAACAATTTATACAAGGAAAAGGACACTGTAAAGAAAAACAACTTTGAAAAGACTTAAGAACTCTGATCAATGAAATGACCAACCCATGTCTCCAGAGGATCTACAATGAATGAAGCCTATCACCCAACCTTCTGACAGAGAGTTGATGGAGCAGAGATATATATCTCTTTGGACATACGTAGGTTCATTTTTGTAAAGCTAAGTTTATTTGTAACAAAGGTTCCCCCCAACTCTTGGTTTTTAATGGGGGGAAAGGGCGTCAGTGGGAGGGGTGACCAATAGTAATATGCAAAAAAAGAGGTCCATTGTAACATTTTTTTAAAATGCAGAACCCTGTGACCCAGTGGCATCACTCCTAATTGTATACCCCAAAGGCACTGTGCACTTTATAAATATAACCTCATTTGATACTCATAACCACCCTGGGAGAGAAGTGCTGTTATTATCCTCATTTTACAACTGAGGCAGCAGAGGTTAAGTAACTTGCCCAGAGTCACACAGACAGGAAGTGTCTGAGGCAAAATTTCAACTCATATCTTCCTGACTTCAGGCCCAGCATATACTGTGCCACCTCAAGGCCTCATAAATTTATATAGCCCTTTAATATTAGCAAAGTGTTTAACCTGTTATCTAATTTGATCCTCAAAGTACACCACCATATGTCATCAAGTGCTAGATTGTGAAGTACAGAGAAGAATATCTATTTCCAAATTTCTTTGACAATATACTATTTAGCATAGTTTGAGGAAATAAGATTTTCTTTTGTGCTGAATCGTTACTCATTTAATTAAAATACTCTCACATAAGCCTGGAAATAGTCAGCTATCCCAGCAAAGCATCAACTAGAGGAAAAATTTGTTTAGGTCAGGTTTATGTCAATTAAGATTTTCTCCACTATAATTATACAAGCACCAACAAACAGAAGGCTGATGTTATAAAAATTGTTAAATATGGTAGTCATTTGTTTCTCACTATCACCATAACCACTATCATTTCCCTTAAAAAATGTAACCAAAACCTCTACTATTATACTATTAAAAATAAATGCCACTTGTTGTAGATTCTTGTATTAACACCCCAGCACTGCTCTCCAACTTCAAAAGGCCAAATTTGGGTCAGTAGACAGGCAGAGTTTTCATAAGCTAAAGCTTCTTTCTCAACTTCTCCATTTCATCAATCCCAGCAGAACACTGTCAATAGAATAAACAGCAGAAGGAAAGGAATAGTATTTTCCTCTGAAACTAAGCCTCCTTTGTATTGTTTGCCAGGAGGAAACGCTCAACTGGTGAAATGATATTCAGGAAGTAAGCACACCTTATGAAACCTTCAGTAAGGTAACCTTTCTATGCAAAAGCCAAAGGATGCATTACTCTAGTAATAGACAATCTGTTTGGATTTCAAAGTCTTTCATAACTCCAGCCCTTTCTTCCTTTCCAGTTTTCTTACTCCTTACTCCCCTCCAAGTACTCTTCACTATTGGCCTCCTTGCCCTTCCTTGCACAAGACACTCCATCTCCTAATTCAATATTTTCACTGATACCCTCTCACTCCTCCCTCTGCCTGAAAACTCTCCCTCTCTACCTGTGGCTTCCCTGGCTTCCTTCAAGTCTCAGCTGAAATCTCACCTTCTGCAAGAAGCCTTTTCTAATCCTCCTTAATCTTTGTGCCTTTCCTCTGAGACCATTTCTAATTGATCCTGTATATGTCTTGCTGGTACATGGCTTTTTTGCTTGTTGTATCCCCCATTAGACTCCTTGAATGTAGGGATTTTTTTAGTTTTTTGCCTTTCTTTGTGTCTCATGCACTTGGTACATAGTATGCTCTTAATAAATGCTAACTGACTGATTGACTGAAAAAAGAATTGTGTTTGATAACCATCTTAAAATAACAAAGCCAATTTACCTAATTAAGCAAGAATTAAATTTGTTTCTTAGGCAAGCAAAAACCTAAATAATGCCCCTTGGGCTCAGGTTACTTTCCTATTAACTAGCAAACTGTTTCTCTTCTCACTCTCCAACCCAGTCATCCTTTAAAATCGATCTAAAGGGCAGCCAGATGGCACAATGGATAGAGCACCAGCCCTGGAGGCAGGAATATCTGAATTCAAATCTGGCCTCAGATATTTACTGGCTGTGACCCTGGGCAAATCACTCAACCCCAACTGTCTCCAACAAAATAAAATAAAATGGATCTAAGAATGCATAAATGAAAACTATTCACTTTATGACCATGAAACCACTAGAATTATTAATTCATACCTGTTGATGAACACAAAGCACTGAGACAAAGACATGCATAAAATAGATGCAGGATTTTCAGCCACTCTGCAGGTCTTTGCCAACAACTTCCTGATAAAATCCAGGAACCAATGTCTAATTTAACTTCCAACTTCTTCTCCATGGTCTTTATGACAGGGAGAAACAGAACTCTGGAAAAACACAAGGAAGAGAAATTACCTGCCAAGTAATTAATAATTTGTTTCTTAGAAAAGTGAACTAAAAAAAGGATATGAGAGATTTGAAGAAGAGGAATTCCAGGTTTTCCTTTCCTCCTCATCTCTGCCAGTAAATTTTAAAACTTTATAACTTTATGAGCTTTATAACATATCTTATAATTACCAGGGCAACAACACAGCAAAGGATATGAAGTAAAGCCATTATAACAGGTAGGCATTTCACACCTAGTTACTTTCTAGTCATTATCGAATAGTAAATCAGCACCTTTGTCCTTTTCCTTTCATGAACCACCCTCCACCCACACATCTCCCTTACATCTTTGTATTCATTACTTAAAAAAAAGAAAAACATCCTAGTAATATTATGAGGCTTTAATGAGTTCTGAAGAAGCATTCAAAATCTATTCCAAATGTGCAGCTGTCAACCCAGCCTGGCAAGAAGCACAGGTTGGCAAACCCAAACATCACTAAGCTTAGCAAATGTGCTAAGCACACAGGGCAGACTGTCATCACTTTGCTATCTGTGCTGGCTAGTACCAGTGAAGAAAAGATTCAGGGTGCTACAGAGCTAAGTTACAGCCAACCCAAGGCAGATTTTCACTAAGCACCAGGCATCTTGAGAAACTAGACTCTCTCATTCAATGCTTTGCTCCCAATGATTTTCCAAATGTGATTTTGGCTAAGGATGGTGAGGGGAAAAGCAGGGGAATGATACTTGAGAATTCATAAACTATACCAATACCGTATCTGCTCTACCAGATATAATGGAGAGCCATGGAAAACACCACGATAAAACTACCAACCTAGAATGTAAGGGGTCTCTATGTAACTTATTACTTATCTCATACACAAAGTCTATCCAGATTCTCCCCAGTTTCTCGGGCTCTTCCCAACATAAATTACTTTGTAGATGATTTGTATTTAACTTTCTATGCAGATGTTGTTTCCCCAAACAGAGCAGAAGTTCCTTGAGAGCAGGGATTGTTTACTTTTTGTCCTTGGATCCCCTGAATTCAACATAACCCGTCACAAACTAAGTACCTAATAAATATGCTCCTTACTTGTTGAACTGAATTACCTACACAGGCCCATCAAAAAAATTCTTCCATTAGTGATGTGGGTGACTCAACACCTATCAACAGTACCTTGAGAGGTAGGCGAATGTGGGCATTGTGAAAATGAATAGTCTTCAAAGCAGAGAATAGGAGTAATTAACACCACTAGGTTGACAGAGGTGGTTAGAGGCTCAACATTTTGCACAATGAAACTGACAGGCACAGAGGCTAATTTATACTTAAACACCAAATAAGACCTTCCTGTAAAATCTACAGCAGAGCCAAAAGGCAGAAATTGTTACTAAGATCTAGGCAAGAACTTTCTGACCAATAGCACAAACCACAAAGCAGGCCACTGAGGCATAAAAGGATAATTATTAGAATTCAAAGGGCAAAAACCTGGGGAGAAAAGGCACACCCCCACACAGTGGAACCCAGAAAAGCTTACAATACTTCAGGCATTTGGGGCATTACAAATACACCCAAAATAAAAGCACTCTGTTGCAGCAGCTGTTTGAAGGAGCAGGGGGTAATGTTTACTTAATACTTTAGGTGGATGGGGGATGTATCATAGTTCAGTCTGTCAACTATATACGTGGAACTCCATTTATGTACTCAGCGATAAGATATGTTTGAAGGGCAAAGAATGCCTGAAACAGCCTACTCAGATGGTATTAGTAATCAAGAATAAAGCTGTCAGAACAACAACAACAAAAAAAACCCCAAAAACCACAACCAAAAAAACAAAAACCCACCACCCCTGCACAGCTAAAAGATATTTGGGAAAGTTACAGAACAGACTGTCATGAATAGTTTTGCTTATATTTGCACACATTGTTTTCCAAATAGCTTGGAAAAATGAACAGATTGTTCTGGGAGGTCGTATTCCAATTTGCTCCTTAGTTGCTAGTCTCCTAATCATAGAAGAAATAGTAGAAAAAGTCAGCTAATGCTTTTCACAAATTTTAACATGATTAACTTCGTACCAGCTTCCTAGTAGACAAGAAAGTCCAGCGAGAAGCTACAAAAAAGGAGATGGAAAGACTCCTTTTTTCCTTTCCTATTTGAAATGTGGGGTCTTCTATCTCTTCAATTTTACTATAATTCTTCCTACTCTCACGTATGCAGCATGGAGTGGTTTATTTTGTGTCGATTAGGCAATCTTCAAAACCCTGCATCACTTAGTTTTCTGACGACCACCAGTCCTCCCCTACCCCCACCACCCCCTTTCTCTAACATAATTGCAAAGTTTGAGTAGTACCTTTCTCTCGCTCCCTTAATCATTTTAAGGCTTGAAATGAACCCTAAACATCATATGACTTTTCTTATGAACTGCAGAAGTCACTGGCCACAGTAAAAGCATGTGGAGGAAGGAGGCAGCACAAATACAGGCAAGCTTTTCTGTCCCATTACTGCATAGCTGGATATCACGACCTCTTGGTACTTGTGTCTACACCGTGAGTAAACACTGTCAAGCCAACATGAGAGTCGAACGAAGGACTGGGACGCCCATTAGGGCCCATTCAACTTTCAACAAGCAGTTATTAAGCATCTATCAAGTGACAGGTACTTGCTTAGGCACTAGGGGAACTAAGACAAAAACGAAACAGCCCCTGCCCTCACGGAGTTTTCCGTTCTAAATGGACGGGCCGGAAGCCTTTGCGGGAGATGGGCTGGGAGGTCCCAGTCCTAGGCCAGGAGCCAGGACCGGGGGTGCAGCTGACCCCTCCTCCCCCTCCCACCTACCCGGGGCTCAGGGCCGGGCGGCGGCAGCGGCTCCTTGGCGAGTCTCGGCCTCCTCCTCCTCTGGCTCCATGGGGGAGGCGGGAGTTGGGCCTCGGGACCAGCCTGGGCTGGGCTGGGCCGGGCCGGGCCGGGCCGGGTTGAGCCGGGGCCACACGATGGACAGGCGCCCTCAAGGGAGCGGCGAAGACCTGCTTCCCTCCTCCCTCTCTGCTCGCTCCGGCCCTCGGCTCCCCAGCACCAGGAGACCCGCACTCCACTAGGCTCCTAGGGGCAGGTGCCTTCCACCTCAGCCTCCCTAGACGGACAGCGACCGCCGGATGTGGCCTGGGCCTCCACCCGGAAGTAATACTCCTGCCGCCACTCCCCCCCGCCCGGAAGGGCAACTTGGATACCAGGTCCATGATGGAGGAGGGGTTGGGAATGGGGGGGAGGGGGAGAAGAGGCAGAGAGACCCTAGGAGGGAGCGAAACTGTGCCAAGGAGAGGGAAACAAATCCTCTGCCGCATTTCTGCCGCGTTTCTGAGAAATCTGGTACCATCATTTCCCCTTCTAACAACAGTCGAGAGCAAAGGGGAGCAGTGCCCATAAGCAAAATGGCGGGAGCGGGGGCGTCCCCTACTGCTCAACGCCCTGAAAGGCCATTGGTCGGTGCCAGGAGTGAATCGGCCGCTGATTGGCCAGGAGGTATGCGGGGGTGGGGGTGGAGCTGCCGCAGCAGGAACCCGGAGTGTGCAACACGGTGTGAGCTCCAGTGGAGGCTCCGGCTGCATCTCGCTTGGGGACGTCTTCTTGGTTCGCGGCCCTACCCGGGTGAGCACAGCCCCCATCCCAACCCCCGCCTCGGGCCCTCGTCTACACCCTTGGAAGGGACCTCTCAGAGGGGTCGCTGACTTGTGTCGCGACATCGCCCGATGTCATATCGCGACATCACGGCTTCATGTCGTGACACCGCGTGTCCCGGTCGTGATAGCGTCTCGTCGCATTCCCGTCCTCCTTGCTTTCCTCCTTTTTTTTTTGGTCATGTCATCTTTGGGAATTGTCCCATGTCGTGATCTTGCTGTGACCTCGTCGTGCCTTCCTTCGTGACATCACCTCGAGTCATCGTGAAGTGTGGCTTCATCATGTTGCCCTGTCGTGACTTCATCAGTGTCGTGTTGTGACCTGGCTGCGGCGAGACAGGTGGCGACCGCCGGGACTCCCCATCCCCGACGGCCCCCGCCCCCTTTCTCTCCTTACCCCTACCCAGCAGTCCATCTTCGATTATCCACTTTGCAGATCATCTTTTTTTTTTTTCCCCCGTGGGGGAGCCAGGACAGTTTGTGGTTCACCCTTAGCTTCTCCTCCCTCTACCCCCCCTGCCAGCTCCTGTTTGATGCTCGGTGACACCTGCATCCGCAAGCTGACTGGCGTGGGAAGGCAGAGGAGGTGAACCTTAATGGTTAATCCTGCTGTTGCTGACTTGCTAGCAGGATTGGGGGGGAGAACGATAAGGGAGCCCACACCTGAAAGGTTGGGGGTCCTGGGTAGCTGACCAGCCCTCATCTACCCCTTGCCTCCCAGCTATTGCTAGGAGCCAAATGCAAATTGAGAGGCTTTTATGGCATTTCCCTGCTCCAGAATCCAATCTAGGAGTCTGCAGGGAGAAGGGGAAGGGGCTGGAGGACTCTCCTTTTTGGTTTCTTCATCAGTGGCTGCTCCTTCCTCCCTGTGCATGTATAATTGAGCATCAGCTGTTTCCATCCTCTAGTGTTTTGTCCTCACCACTCCTTCCCATATCCCCCCTCCTTCCCACCCTACTCCTTCCCCCTCTGTGTTGGCCTTTGGGAGAAAGTCTGAGGTGTGTATATTGGGGGGCGTTAAGGCCAGAGGCTCCCCTGCCAAGCCATGGGAATATAGGAAGGAGAGTGGCAGTGGAAAAAGGATTGCCAGGCTTTGGGGCAAAATGCTTGATTCTGCTTCCCAGCTTCTTCCTTCCTCTTACCCCCTTTTTGTAGGTGACCTTGGGCCAGGGACTTAATCTCCCCATCACTGTTTTCTCCCTTTCTGTCATCTCTCACTTCATTTCCTAGAGAGGTGCCCCCATATATGAGGCGAGGTAGCTTTGGAGACCCTCCCCTCCTTCTCTTCCAATCCTCTACCCCATCCGGTGTTCTTTGTGTTAATCCCTCCCTCCTCACCCCCCCTTCCTCTGGTGGAGCATTGCTCAGTCCCTCTTGTGTTCGCAGTTGGGCAAGGCGGGCACCATGGCGTCCGATTGTGAGCCGGCTCTGAGCCAGGCTGAGAGCCGCAACCCCACCCTGGAGCGATACCTGGGGGCCCTTCGAGATGCTAAGAATGACAGTGAACAGTTTGCTGCCCTGCTACTAGTAAGAACCTCAGGGAGGGGAAGGGGCTGTGGGGACCTGCTAAGCAGGTGGGCATACCAAATTGAGGATGGATCTTTCCAAAGGTGATGGGGCTAAGAACCAGGGGATCTAGGAAGGAGACCCTGGAATCCATTTAGGGTGATGTACTGGATGCCCTTGTATGGAATTGGGTGGAGAAGAGGGGGTTAGGATGCAGGAATAGGGTGAACAGCTTCTTTCTTGAGGTCTCCTGGAGGGGAGGGGAGGGGAGCTGGTGGCCACATGAGGGTATTGGAGGCACTTACTCTGGGTGTCCCTAGCAGATGGGGGCTGACTCACGGGTGCTGTCAGCGGGTAGTAACTAGTGTGTTCTACTCACAAGCTTGGGGAGTCTTCCCCTGTGTTTGTGGGGAAGGTTCTGGCAGTGGGCTTGGAAGGAGATATTGGGGTTCTTAGGGGAAGCTGAGGAGGGGGTCTTCACATTCCCCCTGGAATGCTGGAAAGTGGGAACTGGTGAGGGGTTGAGCTCAGCTAGAGGAGGGTGGCGTGGGGACAGAAGAGCAGCAGCCTGCAGTGCTGGGAAGGGTGGTTGGTGTGTGGGGTGAGGGAAGGAGGGGGGAGAGCAGCCAATGCTTGTTTGCCATGGCAACTGAGAGAAGGATGGGAGTCAAGGGCTCACACTGCAGCAGAGGAGGTGTTTAGGTGAAGTGTGAGGGGAAATGTTTTGACAGGCAGATCATGGAGACACAGGAGCCATTTCCCCCTCCCCTCCCCCCCAGGTGGTGGGAATGGATGAGATAATTTTCCGAAGGAAGTATCTTGGGAAGGACCCTCAATCCGTAAGCATGGAGGCAGTGGTAGGCGCTAGACCCATTCCAGTTCTGGTTTTTGGCATCAGATTTAGACAACAGAAAGCCCTTTCTAGTAAGGAGGCTGGGGAAGTGCTAGAAGTGGTTAGCGAGGGAGGCTGGACACCTCCTCTCCCTCCCCCTTTGCACCAGCTTATCTTCCGTTGCATAAGAAGAGTCTTGTAAAGAGAAAGGACCTAACCTCTGCCTGGGTTCAACTGTGGAAGTATTAGGTGACCTCTAGGGATGCCCAGGCTGACTTAAGCAGTCTGCACAACCACCCCCAACATCTGTTCTCCTCCTACCTGACCTTCTGCCGCAGGTAACCAAGGCAGTCAAAGCTGGTGATATTGATGCAAAAACCCGACGGAGGATCTTTGATGCCGTGGGCTTCACTTTCCCCAATCGGCTCCTCACCACTAAGGAAGCCCCTGATGGTTGCCCTGACCATGTCCTTCGAGCTCTGGGGGTGGCCCTGCTTGCCTGCTTCTGTAGTGACCCCGAGCTGGCTGCCCACCCCCAGGTTCTCAACAAGATTCCTATTCTGAGTGCCATCCTCACCACCCGGGGTGACCCCGATGATGCAGCCCGCCGCTCCATGATTGATGACACCTACCAGTGTCTCACTGCCGTGGCCGGTACGCCCCGAGGACCCCGACACCTCATTGCTGGGGGTACCGTATCTGCCCTGTGCCAGGCTTACCTGGGGCATGGCTATGGCTTTGACCAAGCCCTGGCCCTCCTTGTGGGACTGTTGGCAGCTGCAGAGGCCCAGTGCTGGAAGGAGGCAGAGCCTGAGCTGCTGGCCGTGCTTCGGGGCTTGAGTGAGGATTTCCAGAAGGCTGAGGATGCCAGCAAGTTTGAGCTCTGCCAGCTGCTGCCCCTGTTTCTTCCCCCAACAACGGTCCCCACTGAGTGCCTCCGAGATCTACAGGCTGGGCTGGCACGGATCCTGGGCAGCAAGCTGAGCTCCTGGCAGCGCAACCCGGCCCTGAAGCTGGCAGCTCGCTTGGCACATGCCTGTGGCTCCGAGTGGATCCCGGCCGGCGGGTCTGGGGGCAAGTTCCTGGCCCTGTTAGTGAATCTGGCCTGTGTGGAGGTAAGGCTTGCCCTTGAGGAGCCCGGGGCGGAGGTGAAGGAGGACGTGGTGACTGCCTGCTACGCCCTAATGGAGCTGGGCATCCACGAGTGCACCCGGGTCGAGCAGCCGTTGCTGAAGGAGCCCCAGAAAGTGCAGCTTGTGAGCATCATGAAGGAGGCCATTGGGGCTGTCATTCACTACCTGCAGCAGGTAAAGACAGTGCTTTGGGGCCCCGTGCCAAGGGCCCCTAGGCAAAATGGGAGAGGAGCTGATTCCTGACTTTGGGGAGTCCCAACTCGGAGAGGGAAGCAGTCCCTCCCTCAGAAGTCCCCAAGCTTGTAGCCATTTACATCCATGGTTTATGCTTCCAGATTATTTTATGTACATCATTTCATTTTAATGGACATAAATGTCCCTTTGTAGCGTAGTAGTATGAGTGTTATTATTTCCCCATTTGACAGATGAGGAGACTGAAGGACATCAAAGTGAAGTTACTTGTCCAAGATAGTAAGTGGCAGAGCCAGGAGGAAAACCTGGGGCTTCTAATGCCAAACTGAAGCCCTTTCTACTCCATTTTCGATGCCTCTGTATAAGCAAGGCAAGATCCCTCCCCACCACCACACTCCACTTCCCAGAAAGGCCCCTTGACACGCAGCAACATCAAAGCTATCACTTTGGAAAACGTCCTCTTCTCTCAGGATTGGCCAGGAGCCAACCAGTCCTAGAGGTGCAGCAGGCTGGCGCCTCTTTCCAGATGTTTGTGAGTCTGCAGTGGCATCTGTTTGTCCTCACCCCAGCCCATCTCCCAGCAGGGGCAGCAAAGAGCTCATTGTCAGGGACTGTGAGGACCAGTATTGCTTCTCTCACCCTCATCTTCCTCTCCTCTATTGAGGCAGGTTCTGCCGCACAAAGCTCATGGTGCACTGTTCACAACCTACACATGCTAGCTTTCTTGATTGTGGGGAGGGGCTTATGCCAGGCTCCTTCCTGTCATACCCTCTCCCTCCCCCATTCAGCCCATTCACTCTAATTTAGCACTTTTTTTAAAATTACAAACAGCCAT